ATCCACTTTATCATATTTAAATTTTTTAAAACTGTAAAAAGTATATAAACAGATTTTTCAAAACTGTATGATATAAGAGCTGTATGATATAATAACATTATTATATCTGTCCAATTATTGACCACCAAGTTTTTAAAAGTTTGTTTAAACACCCGCAAAGTTTCTTATCCCAAATCCAGTGCAGAAAATCTCATTACCAATGCTTTCATTCGTCCCCTATAAACACACAATACCCTTCCACTGTGATCATGAGTACACTTGTCGAATAGCAGAATGTTCAATTAATATTTTTACGCTTTAAGTGCGTTAAATATTTTTAAATTATTTCATAAGATCTTAGTACAACGCTACAAACAGAAAATGGACCATTCTTAATTAACGTACTGTTATATTATTAGTCTACAGACGCATGTTTTAAATAGGCATGTGAAAAAAATTCATACCTCTAAAATATTCCAGTAAATACAGACTCGACAGCTGGGCTTCTGTTAAAGGACCCATCAATCACGCTAAGTTTCGGTCGAAGAACAGCAACCAGTGTTTCTTCCAGACATTTTTCTCCGGGGGAGGGGGGGGGGCTCTTGAAATTTTCGGGGGGGGGGGCACTTAAAATTTTCGGGGGGGGGGGCGGACAATAGTAAAAGTGTATGTTTACTTTAAAAATCCATCTCGTTGGGGTGGGGGGGGGGGCGGTAGACTTTCTTCGGGGGGGGGGGGGGGCAGAGCCCCCCCCCCCCCCCCCCCCCGAAGACAGCAACTAATGTGTTCATTATTGTTTCATTTCCAATTAAAGAGGTGTTACTTTGAATACTAATACAAGTCAACCTGTGTCTGTAACCTGGGAATATTAGAGATGCCTAGAAGAAACTCTGTTTTTCAGTTTAGGCTAGTGATCAAATATTTTTTCCCGAGAATGAAAATGCGTCAAAGTACAAAAATCTCCCCGCCCCCTCGCTCCCCCCATTTTAAAATCGAACGACCTTACAATAGGTTCCTACAGCATTTGCTTTCTGGTATTACTAATAATGTTAACAAAAAAAACATACAACGAAGTAGTGCTAAAAGTAGTCTTTTATAAGACTTTTGAGAGAGAATTATTAGCAGTCTAAAATTTATATAATGCTATCAATTATAATGTAAAACAATAAACAAATCGTCCAACACATGTTACCATTCAGTTAAAAAAAAACAACTAATGTCAGAGTATAGACAATAGGCAAAATTACTGAAACCAACTTACACAATCAAATTTACAATAATTACTGTTTCTCTCCCCCTCCACTTCCTTCGCCAACACACACGCACTTTCAACTAGGAGGCTGGTGATAAGGAATGAAATGTAGCATTGATGAATTATCCAGTAGTCAAGACCAAGCATCGAATGATATGTTCATTGCAGTTAACAATGTGGTTTCACCCCAATCAACTTCGGTGGGCGGTGAATTTTGTGCTGATCAATTAGGCAATAATTGTTTTTTTTCAATTACATTTGCTATTGGTGTCACCCTCATCCCATGTTTTTATATATGTCGTCGTTTTATGCACACTTTATATTAACCCACCTATTAATTGGAGGTAAAAAAAAAGCAACAGCGTCGTTTTAATAGTAAATCATTAGATGTGATGTCATCCCAACCTCGCCACATTCGGTGACTGATGAATAAATAATTGATAATATTCAGTAAATTTATTTTCCTTCTGTAAATGTTGCAGATGGTGCCCCCCCCCCCATCCCACCTTCCGAGTGATAGCTTTAATCTCTGCACTCTTAATAGAGTAGGCCTAGTGATTGTCAATTTGTACTTATAAGACTTAAATAAATCATAAAATGAACTGGAAAAAAGGATTTTACTTCTGTAAAGTTTGCAATTATTTGTCATTGTGTAACCCTACTACATGATTTCAGTTGATGCATACTGCACCCCCCCCCCTATGTTATGGAGCCACATAAATTCAACGCACAAAATATTATTTTCATTAGTTTAAATGTTTAACGCCAGCGAATAGCACTGTATAACGCCTAGAGAGAATTACTTCATGGTCCTTTAATCTGGAGCAACGCGTTAGAGATTTTGTTTGTCTCACGTTTTACTGTCAAGATTTTTTTGGTGGAAATTGTATTAAATGTGGCCTATGTCGACCATCGTTTTTATAAAACTGATACGATTTATAAGGACACAAAATATATCAAAACAAAACTAATTGTCTATTTTTTTTATTTACAACAAATATTTTTTTTTTACAAAATCTTTCTTAAATGCACAAGAATTTAAAAAAAGAAACGAATGTAAATTACTATTTTATAAAACAAGCACCAGCAACGAAACAATTCTTGATTTAACCACTGCTACTGCTGCTGCTCTTGCTACTGCTACTGCTGCTGTGGTGGTGATGGTGGTGATGTTTGTGGCTATGGTGGTGGTGATGCTTGTGGCTATGATGATGATGGTGCTTGTGGCTATGATGGTGGTGGTGATGATGCTTGCTTTTACTACTACTACTACTACTGCTGCTGCTGCTAGGCCGACAGAAGACCTCAGCAACCAGGAGAGCTGTTGGATAAAATTTAAAAAGGTCAGAGGTCATGGTTTAACTTGGAATGGAGAAAATAAAATTGAAAAACATGTTCACATTAAAGTAAAGACACTAAGTGTTTTAATTGTTAAAAATTATTAAATTGAAACATTTTTAACAAAAGAAAATTACATATGTATTTATTTTATTTAGTTTGAATTTTATTTCAATATCAAATATAATATTTGGGAATTTTTAAAATCTTGATTTAAATTTTGCTTTTGCTTAATTTGTTTTGTGATCTGAAAATCTATTTTTACCTGTGAAACTTCGTAAGCTTAGCTACAACTAAGCGCGATGTAGTACAAAAAATAATGCCGGTACTTACATAAACACAGCAGGACGATAAAACATGAAACCTTCATGCTGACGTTGTGTGGAGCACAGGACAAACAAACCCAAGTGGTTGTTGGAGGCTGAAGATTTGTGTCTGACATACGTCCTCACCCCGTCCTTATATACCCAGCATCCAGCTCGTGTTCTGTTGCCTTTGTAGTCTCCCACTTGTCTCAGTAGACCATTCAGACAGATTCTCGTTTAGATTAGACATTCATTACAATTAGAATTAGCGCAAGAACAAGCGAACAGGTAAGGGAGGTAAGACACGTCGAGTTATTCAATTCTTTGAAAATGTTGGACAAATGTGTTGACTTACTTCCCTTGCTATGAATACGTTGACGGAAGGTAAAACCGAAACAAACTGGACTGATCATTTTTTACTTGCTTTGGTCAGACGGATCTTGTAGAAATGAAAAGAAAAGTGGGGTAGCAGACGTCACATTGGAATAATGCACTTAAACAACCAAATCGATGAGATGACTTGCAAAATCCGCGTCTTTGTGAGTTAAACCTAGTTAATACTTAGCGGACTAAGAAGAAAAAGACATCACTGAATTGAATGATGTATCTCTTGTTAAACTATTTTGGTTTGGTTGCTTTCGGGTGGGGTGGAATAGGGTCAGTCTGTTATCGAAATTAAATGCTATCATTCGATGACGCAAATTAATTTGATTCCCTTTATCTCAATTGACTCCAGTTTTAAAAAGAGTGCAAAACTTTCCACAGGGTTGACCAGTGTATAACACGGGCTGTGTATAACATGTGTTGTGTATAACATTAACATGTGCTGTATATAACATGTGCAGTGTATAACATGGGATGTGTATAACATGGGATGTGTATAACGTGTGTTGTTTATACCATGGGATGTGTATAACATGTGCAGTGTATAACATGGGCTGTGTATAACATGGATTGTGTATAACATGGGATGTGTATATCATGTGCAGTGTATAACATGGGATGTGTCTAACATCCACTGCCAGCGCTGGACACATCAGTCCCCTGTGACACAGTTGCCTAATCTTTAATCTGGTTCAGCTCAACTTTTGGCCGCACAATTCAGAAGCTAAGAATGTAAGTAATCTCCATGGGTTTAGATTAATTAAATGTTTAATTGTACTTCTAATTACTGTCGGTGGGGGGGATTTCTAACAAATTGCCAATATCGATGACTCCCGAAATAAAACGTCCCCTCATTACGACCAACTGGACCTAGTCAAAAGCAAGTGAATCTAAACATTAGCATTAAAACGTAAGCTCAAAATTAAGCTCTTTTCAAACGTTAAGCTCCTGCAGAGATCAAGCACTCACTAGACCCTCCCCCCTTTTCTGTGTCCGGTCTTGTTACTGTAGTTCGCAGATGTTATGGGCTCCGCTTCTCCCCCCTACCATATATATATATATATATATATATATATATATATATATATATATATATATACATACATATGAAATTATTTACATTGAAGTGGATGTAGTCTGAAGATTTGCTACTATTTCACATTAGTTTTTGTGGTTCTATTTTAATTTTAGTCATTTTTCAGGCACTGGGCCAGTGATCAAAATATAGCAGTGCTTTATTCACGACTTCATGCTGTTTGTTCACAGATATTTCTGTTTGGTGCACACATTTTGCTGTTTGTGTACATACTTAGTGCTGTTTGTAGTTGTTAACAGCATGGAAACCACAGGTCCATCAACTTAGAAACTTAATGCAAGCATGGAGAGCACAGCCAATACTTGCTCTAGTTTTTTAATGTGTTATGTCAGGTGCTAATACATAACAAAAATCTTAAAGGTAGCAGATATCTCAGATGTCTTTACCAAATACACAAAATACATGTGTAATTGATTAGTAAACCACATAAATCAATATTTTTTTTAGTACTTTACTATTTTAACCTCAAATAGGGTGTTTTCGCCCAGGAGTCTGGTCCTTTAATGTACAGGCTATTTTAATGTTAGAACATTATACAACCTATGCTTACTTAACCTGTTGAATCAGAAATTATAACTATGTTGTGGGATACCTTGTTTAGCTAAATTTAAAATCTGACCAAGAGAAAGTAAAAGACAAGTGAAAATTGCTATGACAATTTTATTAATGACTCGATATTCCTTACTACAGGCCTGTATCACATGACATGACAGTCAAATATTCACATACAAATTAAATTTTGCTAACTTACTATTTTCAAATTTTAAAAAATAATTTTTTAATACAAAGCAAAACATGATCAACAATTTTTTTTTCATTTTAAATTAATGATTGTTAAAAAAAACTCTCTGAATTTGGTCTTGAAGTTGTTCTAATGTTAATTATGTACCAACTGTGAACAACCAATATATAGCCAACAACAAACTCATGTTATACAAATTATAAAATAATCGGGCAGTGGTGTCACGAGGTCGCCCTCTCCAACGACCTTGTACTAAAAAAAACTGCCCATAATTTAGTGTTAACCCCCATCCCAGATGCTGACACACTTGTCTAATTAAGTTATTAAACAGGTAGTTTGTAGTGTCACCCAGAGCATTCAGTCTACACTACACCTACCACCCCCACTGTATGATGCAACTGTTAGCTAGTATTTAAAATATTGCCAATGTTTCTCTTAAGTGCTTCTATTAAAGAAGCTGTATTCTGGTAAAAAAATTCTTTCACATATTTAGAAGATAATGTAATATAAATAAGATAATGCACATATAAAGACTAAGACGCTTTAAAAACACCAACTAAAGCAGGTCTCAAGGTACGACTGTGTAGCTTGTATCCAATCTTTTGTACAACAGCAACAGTATCAGCTGTCTGTGTTTCTTTGGACTGGATTGGAACCTGAAATAGAGCTTCATGGAAATTGGGATCAAATTTCTCCCCTTCTTTTGGTGCGATGGATTCTAAGCCGTGCTTATTGAAGACTTTTATAAGCTGTGATTCGGTCATGTTAAGACCTTGGAACAAATTGATTAAATGAGGGTTAGAGTCTTTCAATTCTGTTTTAGGAACTGTATTGATGGCTGTATTCAATATGTCTGACACTTCAAGTAGATCTTTGCAGAATCCCTGAATTCCAAAAAGTTTTGCATCTTCCACTTGCTTGGTCATGCGCCTCCGTAAGTTTTCAGCTTCAGCCAAAGATCGCATATATTTGTCCTGCAGAGAAAATTTATTTGAAAAATAAAGTCAGCAAACATGTAATAACTATAACATTCAAGAAATGAAAACACATGGCCTTCGTGCTATACAAACAATTTATTATGTGCTGAAGAACAGCTAAAATTATCATAGTGTTGAGTGTACATTACAAATCTAACTCAAATATTTGACAGTATTACCTTTGATTCTTTTACTTCTTCTTCCAACTTCTGAACTTGGGATTCTAATTTGATTACATCTTCAGACTTGGTGGCAGCTTCTGTTTTCTTATCCTTACTTTCACTTCCCTCAGGCTTCGGTACATTTTCACCTGTGTTTGGCGTTGCTGTGGTCATAAGACATCTGTGTCTAGAAAAAGATAAAAAAGGTTTAAAAGTGTACTTAATAATAATTCAACATCAGAAATATAAATCCATTCTCTAAAACAATGCATATTAAATTTTGCTTTGTTCATTTGCCTAATATGTCTAGGTATAAAGTTCCAATATCTAGCTACTTGTATTGCTATATTAAGTAAACTTTTTAGTTGACAAAAAAAAATTATAATTTTATAGAATCAATGATTTAAAAGATGCAAACTTGCAGGCACATGATTTTTTAAAAATATTTAGATCTAGAATCTAGGCCTAATGAACTATTTGAGACTATTCTCACTGGTGTACATTCATATTAATATTAAACTCCCCTTGGACTTGGAGTATGACCCGGCAACCCCTCTGCCCTTTTACTTTCACTAATGTTCAGCATAATTCATGAATTTAGTTCCAAAGTGCGATAATATAAATCTAGCACTCTGACGAATTGGGCAAGTGTCTGCCTTAGGCAGGGATTTATAGTTACTAGATCTATTAGTTACGTCCAAATTACTCTAGACTCATCTTAAAAATTAAATTTTACTTGTCCTAGCTGTGGTAGCTAGATCTAGATCCTAGATCTTAGGTAGATTCTAGATCTACATTTAAATATCATCCTAAATATTTAGTAAATATCTTCTAGATCTAGAATTTTCTAGATCTAGATTAGATTTTCTTACGCCTCTGGGTTAGCGAGTATTACTAATCTAGATCTAGATTCCTAGATCTAGATGGCCTCGGATCTAGATTCTAGAATCTATTTTTTTAGCAGTTTTCAATTTTTAATTTTATTTTAAATTTTAAACGTTTTTAAACTCTTCTTTTAATTTTAATAAAAAATCTTTTGTTAACTGTTATTAACTTATATTATTAGGCCTAACTAGTAGATCTATAACAATAACTAGACTACTGACACTACTGTTAACTGTTAGGGGTCATCCATAAATGACGTCACACTCGTAGGGGGGAGGGGGGTCCATAATTTTGTGACGATGTGTGATGAGGGGGAGGGGGGGGGGGTCAGATGTTGCGACGTCACATTTTTGCATTATAAAAAGGCAATGTTAGAAAACGAATTTTAGACGTTATTTCGCGTTTTAGATAAGGCAGGAAACAGATTAGTACCGCAAAATGCATATTCGATCTTCGCCGTTCATAAACTTTATAACCAGACATCGTTCGGGGATTTTGTTTATACTAATAAACAGAGCTATGTTTTTACAAGCTTCGTTAGCAACATTTTTCTGGAATACGTTTTTTATGACATTTTGTGCCGCAGCGAAGGATGCAAATCTAGACAGAATGGATCTACTTGGAAAAGTATGTGTACTGCACTAATAAGGTAAGAAATAATATTTTGTAAAAATAACTATTATTTTTATGGATTTGTCATTAGAAATGATTGCTGTAAATTATGAAAGTAAAAAAAGTATATTTGAATGCGGTTTTTACTTTAATTTGAACAAAATGAATGGCCATAATAACGACACATCGGCGTCGTTGAAAGCGGGGATTTCAGTTAATTTTTTATGGATATAAAATTGTATTTTTCCCCCGAGGCATATATTTAAATAACAGTTTAGTTAAATCTATTTAATTCTGTTAAATATAAGTATTATTTTACCGTAGATACTTTTAAACATTTTTTTAATGATTTTCTGTCGGGGAAAATCGATATTCGCACTATGCAAGCACGCGTAGTAAAACTAGACTTATCTTTAAAACACGAGAATCTTGAGTACACTGCGAATAACAAAGTTTTTAAATTTTAGTTTACTTTTGACTTTAAGCCATTTGTTTTAAATCAAAATTAATTGATAATGTAATTATTTCAAAGTAAAAATTTTCTGTCTGAAATTGGGTTCTAACCTTCACCCACTGAACCAGCCTACGCACGACATTCGCGCGAGTCTGTTTCTTCGCAATAATCTGTATAGTGTCGAGGGCTAATTCTAAAAAGAATCGAGTCCTTACTAATCTAATGTTTATTAAAATTAGGTACAATTGTTGGAACGCATGAGAAATAACAAATTAATATTTCTTTAAATCTATAGCCAAAAGAAAGTAGAACTTTATAATTATGTAAATTATGAATCGAGTGACGGCTGTCGTGAAAACGGGAGCCATTTTACTCTTTTTTTAGGGTGACCTACTTTTACTATATAAGTTTAAAATTCATGGATTTGATAAGCAGCTGACTACGCATGCGATATGGCTAGCACGTTTTGGGATAGGGATCGAGTACATCATAGAATTTTTTTTTCTTAGAACTAAGCGTATTTTTTTTTTTAATCAAAAGATACATATCAGTTGTTGATTTCAATTTCATTATAGATCTAATCACTAACTTCAGTTTTTAAAAGTGATTTTGCTTCTAGATCTAGCGTATTTTCAAAATTATGTAGTCTAAATCTAGATCTATTTAATTTACTTACTATTTGACAACCGTGTCAGTAAAATGAGGTCACCGCTTCAAGATTCTTAGGTTTTAATTATGTTTGTCATTTTGATCTATTATAAGTAGCATTAAAACAACTGCATCTATCATCAACATTGTTTTTATAGGCCAGTTCTAATTATACATTCTGTTCATTACCAATTCTAATGAAATCGTATCAGGCCCTAACACCCTGTTCACCTACACTGACACTAAACTTGAATGACGCCACAGACTGTCGTAACTTTAAATTAATGTTTAAAGTACTAAACAATTATAATTAGCCATGTAAATGCTGCAACTATATTAAAAATTGGCATATAGTAGACATATTTTATTAATAATGTTTTTTATATAGACCTTCTATATTTAACTCTGTTATTTTTTTCTTCCCCAGAGTGTTTCTAAAAGCCAGAATTTTAAAGGGGAGGGCGGTCGTTTTTTTTTTCAAGAATAATTATAGAAATAAGCTATAAACTGGTATATTTTGTAAAGTTTGACATAATTACAAATAAATGTATGCCTAAGTGACATTTCTGTGTAATTATATTGTTAATTTTGTAAATTTCGTGGATTTTTAGACCTCACTACATTTAGATGTAAAAAAAAATCTCAGTTGAGTGAGTGTGGTTAATCTACATTTTGAACGTGATGTAAATGTCTAGTGCTATTAATTTTTATATTTTTGAATTCCTCGATTGTTAAGCAACAAAATTGATATATAATATGTCAATATTTGTTACTTTGAAAATTGGCGAAAATCGACCCTAAAAGTAGATGCTTGAGAGTTGAATCTGTTTCCTGCCATAGGCCTAACTGTTTTAATAAATTGTAATAGTTTAGACAAGATTTTGGAAAAATATCAATGTTTTAAAAAAATTCAACTGCAATTTTGAGGGGGGTTGTAGGTTGAGGTGTGACGTCATTTTAGGGGGGGGGTCTGGCTTTTTGTGACGAAGTGTGACGGAGGGGGGAGGTAAAAATCGTCAAATAAAGCGTGACGTCATTTATGGATGACCCCTTCCCTTAGGCCTATTTCGGAACTAGAATCTAGATCTATTTCCTAGGCCGCCTCATTGCTTAGATGGCTGGATTGACCTCTGACCCTGAAACGTCACGCGTCGTTTTCTGACGGTTTTTACGTTTATTTTAGGGTCCAATCCACGACATATGAAAAAACTGTTAATCTCGCAAATTCTTATCATTATTTTAACACAAGATGCTAATAAAATGGATAATATGCCTTAGAATGCCAGAAAAAATCGCTAGAATTGTAGTTGTAAATAATGAGAGGATTTCTAGTGGAGCACTCTCCGTATAAACTGAACCGCGGCCAAAAACGACCGTATAACGGGGAAAACGGCCTGTATAACAGTAGATTAATATATAATTGAGATATTTACCATGTATATTTACAGTATTATAGATGATTTTTACCAAAAATCCAATTACCCCGTAAGTAACCATGCGACAATTTCTCTCTGCTATTTTTAGTAACGTTGCATCATTGTTACGCTAGTTGCCAGACAGAAACAACTAGATCTAGTTTTTTGCGGAATGAACTGTTAAGTCTAGTATTTTAATTATAATTCAATTGTAGCATGTGCGGAAAAAGTAAAATTATGGACATTATTATTGTATTAGTAATTTTATTAGTATATTGATTTTTTCTTCACTGTGGGCCGACAGTTGCTGCATTCGTGACCGGTGGTTAACCTCGTCAACGCTGCGTGGCCTATTCGTTTATATAATTAGTGAAGCTCGTTCAGTGGCCTTTTTCAGAGCTAGGCCTAATTACGGGCGATTTTTAGACTTATTGATCGGCCGTTAGCCTTTTTCAATTTTCATTGCTGCGTATTTTAAAAAATGCTCGTTCAGCGGCCTTTTTTTGGCGCTAAATAATCTGTTTACGGGCATTTTAAGCGTTTATTTATTTTATTTTTTAAGCTAGATGTAGATCTAGTTAAAAAAATAATCTAGCATGCCTGATATGAGAACTTTAAAAAAAAAAAAAAAATTACCGAACTTTTAAAAAAATGATCAGAAGTAGGAAAGTAGGTCTGTTTTTCAATTTGCTTGAAGAAGGGGGGGGGGGGGAGAGAAGTGAAGACACCGACCATCTCGTGTACACGTGTTCATTCTATGACGTGTACTATAGGCCTGCTGAAGTCACGGTGACCCCGCGACCGTGGTGGGATTTTTCATCAATAGGATAGTAAACGCAAGCAAGCAATCACGCGAGTGACGATGTTTGGAGATTTTATTTTAAAAAAAAATCACATACGTCATGTTTTCAAGATGAAAAAAAAAATGTAATGTAAAAAAAAAAAAAGACACTAATACCATGTATGAACCTCAGCTCCCACACTGTTGACTCAATATAATGTGAATTGAGTGACTGGTGTAAAATGTATTTGTATTTATAAACTATAATATAGCATATTTATTATTAAAAATTAGAATTTGAAATAAAAATATTTATTATGGTCATTTGATTTATGCAGGTGTTCATTATTGCATAAAATGGTATGAATAACATGTAGAGTAGAATTTAATAAATAATAAAATAACTAGATCTAGTTTTATTATCAAATCAACCAGTTACTTTTTGTTATTTTCCGGTGAGTAAATTTAAGTAAATTACCTAAGCTGACACAATTACCATGGCGGGAATTAAAAGCTCGTGTACACAAGTCGACGACGTCATGTTATGCCGGTCGAGGGCCAAGAACGCTGTTAGTCATTCATTTTCCATTTTTGATTAATTTTCAAATTCTCTCTTTTCTCGTCAACCGAGTAAGCTAGATATTTAAATGTGGTGTCAAATGTTCTCTTAAGGGGTAAGGAAGTTAATGGGGTAAAATCTTAGTTTAGCGTCGTAAATTCGGCCAAAACTAGTAATGTAGGAGAGAGTGAATTAATGAATATGTTATTAAATATGAGTATATTTTCGTATATTTTGATAAAATATTATAGATAATTGAATAATAGATCACCTTTTATGGTTAAATCAATTTAAATATCCTGAAATTAATTTTTATCAACCCTGTTCGAGATAGTAAATTTGCTATTAAAAACAGCAGCCATCTTAAGAAAATGTTATTTAGAGTAGCTTCCCTTTCATTTCTATTCGTATGAAAATGTATTTAAATATGATTGTCTAGTTGTATAGTCCGTATTACAAAGCATTTTTAAAAAAAATTCTGCTCTTTAAAAACTGAATTTCCTAACCAACAACTTTATTAATTCTAGAAGCATTGTGAGATGCAACTTGTATCCATGTATTAAATCACGTTTTTTTTTTACTAATGTTTATTTGATCTTACTATTACTATATAGTTTGAGTTTTTTTCTTTTTGTTTGAATGTTCACTATTTTCATTTCAGGTTTTTCTATTCATCAATTGTCAATTAGTGATTCTATCGTAACTTATGACATTTTTTTACTTCTCTTTACCTTAATTAAACCCCAACTTCCGACATATTTTTGTTGTCAATGTCACAAGTCATAATGTAAAAAATTATGCTTCACTCTGCCTTATCTAAGATCTCTAACCATAATTTTGACAACATTAAATGTTTGTCATCATTTATATATACAGAGAGACAAAATGTATTATCCACCAGCTTCGTAAAACATCATCTAAAACAATGAGCCAGTCCACCTCTTTAAGCGCGTGTTGGCATTATGGTCGATCGCAAGTCTCCACCTGTCAAGACACATTTTGGTTATCCTTTGTTGTCAAAATGTCAAAATCAAATTCCCAAATCAGTGATATGGGGTTGTCCATAAATGATGTCACATATGATTTGCTACAAGAGTGAGTGAAGATTTGTGACGTCAACGCAGGCGGCTCCGCAATTTATGACGTGTCGGCCTCCTCTTTAAAGGAGGTGAACGGGGAAAAATACCTAGGTGATTGATGGAGAACCTCTATAATGCTTTGTTCAATCAAAATAACGATAAATAAGCATTAGTATATGTATACCTTGCTCAAAACGAATCATCATAAATGTTTCAAGCCTGCTAGTTTAAGACATTTGGCAAAACATTATACCCGTCAAAAAGGCTGGCCACCAAATGCCTGCCGACGAATAAGCCGCGTCTAATGCGGGGCGTTAGGAATACGGCCATTAGCATGGACCGCGTTAGAGCACCAGTAAGCTATCGCGCTTTGTAAGATGACGTAAATACTTTAATTTAATTTCGCGAAACTGCGCGAAAATTTAGTAACGTTACATTGTTTGAGGAAATTTATTTTCTTGGACTCAAATTGAAATATCATGTTTACTGTCTGGCTCTTAATTTCAGAATATCACTTTTAATGTATCATGATTCAGGACTATAATTTACTTTAATATAAGTGTCATCTTATCGTTTATTGTAATTTTTATAAAGCACAGAGCAGCTTCAAAATCGGACGGCCATCCTGTTTTCACCAAGCTTCTTTTGGAGCTTAATATGGGTAGTCTAGTTCTATACAGTGAGAGCTTAATACATTTTTAAAGGGCCGAAATTCTCAAGACAGCAAGCTTGCAGAAATAACTACGTACATTTAAATGGACGAGTGATAGATGTGTTAGGGGCTGTTTAATGAACACCAACTTATGTAATCAAATTTAAACGTCGCAAAAGCGTCAAAAAGGCAGTGCCTGTTTTTTTTTTTTCTATAAAATTAGCCTAATGGTCGGCGGTACCGCTACATGACGTCACGTGCGAGCGTTAACTCGGTGACGATGTGCTAAGTGGGGGAATGAAAAAGGTGGGATTCAAGAAATGCGACTCGGCATGCTTTTTACATTTCTTGACCCTTCTTAATAGTTCTATCGTCCCCACTGAGAAAATGGATCACCAATGAATGACGCGTCATACTTCTACAGCTGGTCTTTCTCCCACAACCATCCCGTTTTCACGAAAAAAAAAAAAAACCTGACCCGTCTCCAAAATCACATCGCTGAGTTCTACTCAACGTCTCCCCACCACAAATCACAATTTCTATCTGAAACAATATGTTCATATGTTTGCTCTGTAATAATGCACGCTGTCATTACTATCTTAAGAGCGACGTCATTTATGAGCGATCTAATATTGATTTGCTTACTGCAAATAAAGTGTTCAAACGTTCGACCTCCCAACAATTGTTGTGGTCTTGGATGCACACTGTTAATACGTCTGAAAAGGTCTATTAGTCATTCGTGTCAACTATATTAAAAAAAAGAAAAATTACTATACAGGGGGTCATCCATAAATGACGTCACGCTTTTTTTGACGATTTTTACCTCCCCCCTCCCCTCCGTCACACGTCGTCACAAAAAGCCTGACCCCCCAAAATGACGTCACACCTCAGCCTACAACCCCCCTCAAAATTGCAGTTGAATTGTTTTTAAACAGCTATATTTTTCGAAAATCTTGTCTGTCAAAATAGAGTATTTTAATCAATTGTTATTATAATGTATTAAAACAGTTTTCTAAAACGCAAAATAACGTCTAAAATTCGTTTTCTAACATTGCTTTTTTTAAATGCAAAAGTGTGACGTCGCACCATCTGACACCCCCCCCCCCCTCCCCCTCATCACACAACGTCACAAAATTACGGACCCCCCCCTCCCCCCTACGAGTGTGACGTCATTAATGGACGACCCCCAGGCATATATTAAAACAATACAAAACAATCATATTAAACCACAAAATCAACACAAAAGACATGCGAATAGACAATTTATTGTTTTTGAAACATGGCCGCTGCTTGTATTTACTCATTGTTGTCTCGAACGGGGTAGTTTAAAGTTTATTCCAGGATATTTATGACTGGTTTGGTCTTGGATTGTGATTTGTTATTCAATTATCTGTTATATTATGTAAAATATGACATAAATATGGCCAAATGAAAGAAATATTCATTAGTTACCTTCATCGCACATTACTAGCTACGTTGGAATTTACGACGCTAAACTAAGATTTTACCGTTAATGGTGTATTTAAAATAACAGAATATTTTATTTTAAAAAATCCATAATTCAACCTACTATTTCCTGTTAGATTCTATTACTATTTCAATAGGCCTAATCAGACTAAACTGGCCTAAACAAATTATTAAATATTCGAAATAATAAATTAAATTCTAGACTAGATCTAGAATCTAGTCTGGTCCGTCTAACTCTACGGCAGTCTACGGGCTAGGGGTAGACTTAGGACTAGAATCTAGGTGTAATTTTATAATATGAAGTAAGTTGTGACAAAAACTGACCTTGTACCAAAACTTCGTAAAGAAGAACGTGCTAAAATAGATGTTCGATTCAATACACGAACAACGCATGTAGCGGTCGCCATTTTGTCCTTAACTAGCTCTTGTATCTGCGAAAACCAGTAAAAATTAAAAACTAAATGCTGCAATATAACATGACCTTTACATAATCTTTGTATCTTAGTGAGGCCTAGTCCAAAAATAAAATCTTTCATCACTACATCTGTCATAAGAGCATTTTAAAGAAATTCATGACTTATTTCCTAATACATTTGTTTTAGTATTAAAAAAAGAACTGTCAGTTGTCTCTGGACGACTATTTAATATTAATGTCTAATTGTGTCAGTTATAATAAAGTTATATGCATCCACTCAAAGGACAGGAAAGGGGAGGGGAGAAGGGTTGGATTTTTTGTTACAATGCAAGACGAAAGTTAGGGGAAGGTTAAGAAAGTGATACGTCAGACGTTTACATTTAAAGAATGTATGTTTTAAATTGAATTTTATCAGCGAATGTAGGCTACGTTTGAAATAAAAAAAAAAATTAAAAAAAAAACTAGTTTTGTTGACTTTACAGAACATTATGCGTGAATCTTACCTTTACCTGGATTTGCAAAAATGTTTACTGATTAACGCCCCTTCCCCCCTCCCCCCCCCCCCCAAAAAAATATATATATGGCACTATGGCAAGCCCAGTGGCGTAGCTAGGATTTTTGGGCCCCTATGCAAAAAGTATTAGTGGGCCCCTTAGAGGCGTAGCGAACCTTCCCGGCGACAGGGGACAAACTTTCGATTTGCACCCCCTCCCCCTCAGACTTTCGATTTGCACCCACCCCCCTCAAACTTTCGAAAAAGGGCCCCTATTTGCCTTGGGCCCCTAAGCCTTGCTTACGCTAGCTTTACGGTAGCAACGCCACTGGGCACGCCAGTGATCGGATGCCCCGGAGCACCCAGGCTCCGCTATAAACACTATACCGCGATACACATATTAAGAGCACCTACACTATGGACATGGTGGGTCTTACATTCGATGACCAAATCGAAACAGGAGACACACCCGGCGCCCCAGCGGTTGTGCAACAGGTGGCTCCAGAGAGCGTCCCGCGGCGCCCCTGACATTGATGAGACCCTTATAAAATGTTGCGTCAATCTGTACGCAGAACTAGATCGCAGCAACGAGTGAAGGGTATTCTAGTTCTTTAATATAAACCAATTTATAATATTATTATAATATAAGACGGTCTTTGATATTCATTATCAAGCTTGATTATTTTTAATTATTTTAATTTGGTAATGCCAAATTTTCAACACCAACCTGTAATCATTAACTGTAACTCTCTGCAAGATATAATTCAAGTTTAAATTGGATTATATCCCTTAGATCAAATTTATACTATGTTTTTCAAATCTCCCTGTATATAAAATAAAGTGGATATTTTCCCGTTAACATGCTTGTATTTTATGCATTTGACGTCTGTTTGTTTGAAAAGACAAAAATAAGTTATTACATTTATTTTTAAAAACCGCAAGGTTCTGTGCGAATCAGGGGCGGAACTACAGTGCCGCCAGACCCCGCAATGCAGGGGGGCCCACGACGTTTAGGGGCCCAATTCCGACCAAAAAATCAATGAATTTTCTTTTCATAAATAATGTTTTTCGTGCACCTTGATAATGGTTTTGTAAAAAAAAAAACAGGTCTACTATAGCAATGATTGTTCTACAGTAACTAACACACACTGTAGAAAAATATAAAATCTACAAGAGCTCTACTTTGAAAGATAGGCCAACGTTCACACTACTTCCATGACTTACTGCCCTCTATTAAAACACGGGTGCCCATAAAGCTCATTTAAATAGTTTTGTACTATGTAAATTAAAGAGCTATTTATTCTCTTAATTATTATTTAAATAAAGCATACTTAAGAATTATATAGCTATACAAATTAATGTATTCACAACTAATAATATAAATACAAAAAAATCATAAATATAAACATAACGCGAAAAACCATTGCAAAATCAAGCTTACGTGTTTATATAATTTTGACCAGACAGCACTTGTGTGAGTTTTCGGTAAACATACAGACGTAATACAAACATTTGTAAAACATATAAAAATTGTGGAGACACAGGTTATGGAGCTATGGCAGAGGTGTCTGCTGTAGAAAGTGCTGTAGTTCAAGTTCCAGCTTCAGCCCAACTTACATAAATCTTCCAATTTCCGGTCACAACCATGGTTGTGACTTTTTTTTTAACTTTAAAAAAAAATTGTTTTTGTGCATTTAAAAGTGTGTTGAAAAGTTTTTTATAATTGTTTTTTTTAAAAATAAATCTTGGGTATCATTCCCATCTCTTCCTGTCAACAGCCTTACTAATTTAACAAATCAGCATTCC